CATCACATGACTTTTTGTTAGTTTCTTAAAATAGTTATCTTTCAAAATCCATAATTTGTACATGTAGATAACCATTAATATATTTAGTGCTCCAATACATATTTACCTAACTTGGGATCTTGTTAGCATAACATATATATACGTAAAGAAGTTAATAAGATATGCCTTGTGATCAGCTACCTAAAATCCATATCAGATGTTCTAAGGGATTAATCATGACTATGACAATGACATTTTGTTGGTTATTCGGATTCTCTGATACCTTTAAATTTCATATTGGCTATATATGCATGAGGGATATAATCCAACTTTTTAATCGTACAATTGTCAACTGCAATGATTTAAATTTAGAATCTCTAATGGTTATTACTTGTTGGGCTAAATAGCATCTTCCTTTTCACAAATGTAATTTGCTCATGGTTGAGGGTTCAACACTTAATTTCATAATTTCATTCTTTGCCTCTTAATCAAATAAATGATATATAAGTTCATGTCCTCATACTCTTTCCATTTATTTTTATTCGAATTCCCACCAAGGCATTGAGTAATATGGATGGTTTTAGATGATGACATGGGTCATTGGTCGATGTATTACATGTGTCATAATCTAGTGAGTTGGGTAGTTATAAGGATTGCTTACTCATTAAGCTTTGTATCTAGTATAAATAGTGGTGAGAATATTATTTGTAACCAACTCCGAGATTTTTTTGAAAGATTGCAAGATTCTTCCATTTTCTCTTTCTCTGAGTTCTTCATCGCATCTATATATAAGTGATCTTCTTCAGTCCATAAAAATGTTGTATGCCCAAAAGTGTTTGAAGATTATTGATTTGATAATATGTTGGTTTTAACTTTGTAATGGCATGCATTTCAAGATTATTGTAGATGGGTCAATTTGTTTGTTTGTTTTTATGAAAAAACATGTTCCTTGCAATACTCAATTTTATTCCTATCTCATGTTTTGATTCACCTTATATATGTGAAATGAAATGCATATAATAAGATGACCAACTAAACATATTCATGATTGTTTTTGTAAATGTCGAACTTAATATCAAACCGGCGGACAGCTAGTAAGGGCAGTTAAACACCTTCTCCAGGAGGTAATGTTGCTGCCACCTCCATACCTAATATGAGCATGACGGGTGTCCCTTTGGTCACGCCTTTGGGGCCAACGGTGTCTACTGTTGATGCGTCATCAACTTCTTTAGTGACGCATCCTGTCCTAAGTGCTCGACAGACTCATCGACGGCCCCAGAGTTCTGAGTTAGCTCAGCCGTCTGGTGAATCCTCCTCTGCCCATGGAGAGGGGTCCTAGACAGGTAAGCTTGCTCTATCCATTGATAAGCTTGCTTCTAGTTCTATCTTTATTCATAGCCATAATGATATGTTCCTTACAAATATACAAGTCGCACATGTGGTTTGTAATATTTTCTCAAGTTTTGGCTTGCAAATTGACCGCAAACAATAATTCAAAATAGTCTCCATTAATGAATACAAATGTTTTTCAGTCTTAAGCTATCTTACAACTAGAGTATTTGTATTATTTTCAACTGTTAGTCCCATGCGCGCGCACACACACACATATAACCATTTTTCCAACTAATTTTACAAAGCAAAATTGGTGTGGATTTTATTGGTTTGAACAATTTGATATGTAGTTGCAAAAGATTGTTATATTCTTCTGAATATGCTTAAGCTAAATAGCAATCAACCTGCTTTACATCTTTCTTTGTCAACAATGAGTTGATCCCTTTTCTGCAGAGAATAACATTCATGCTAGCTAGTTAATTTGAATTGTGTTTTTGACCTATATTAATTATTGTTAAGCAGCACTGAGTAAATTGAAGTCGTATCAACAAGATGTAAATTTTGTTTTAACGTCCCTAAATGGTAAAAATTGTTTGAATTGTTGGCTAGATGTGTTGTTTTTGTTGTTATATTGTCTGCAGGTTTTAGGAAATGTTATAGTTTTAAGGGAGGTTCCACCGAATTTTCGGTGCAAACTAGAATTCATCTAATGTTTACTTTGTTTATTTGGTAGGTCAAAAAAAAAAAACTAGGGGCCCTTGCAGACTCCTTAAGACGGTATAGACCACTCGCACCACGACCGAGAAGATCACCATTACGTAGGATCGTCAACAACCTGCGGCTGCAACAAAGGAGCAGCACAGTGTGTTGGCCACCGATGTTGGGTAGGTTATTAGGAACCATTGCCCCCTCAGGTGGGAGTCATGGAAAGCTGTCCCACAAGAATTCAAGGACGCCATTTTTCATGAATTATCAGTAAATAATTTCAACCTCAAATACTAAATTTTTATTAAAGTATACAAAGATTATAAATTTTAACGAGCGACCTCCACAAGCATTATGAGTTATATGACGGTCCGGAGGTCGTTCTAGAAGTTGGGTGCCCTATAGAGTTGGTGGACCGTCGGGATGAATTGGAGTGGCTCTACGACCATTTTCAAGACGAGAAATACCTAGTACGTATAATATATATTTCAATAATATATTAATAAAAAAATTTACAATTTTAAATAAAATTTTCATTTTTCATTCATTTGTTATAAATATCTAAACTAATATGTTTTTTAAATTCAACATAAAAAAGTGAAGGCAAACTCGATCAATCGGTCGAAGAAGAAGCTTCTTCATCGATCCAACTCACAATGCTTCTCCTATAGGTTGGAGGAGCAATGTAAGATAACTGTATATATTTTAAGTTTTCAATCTTTTTACTCTTTATTACACATTTGGTAATCTATGTTAACACTTTTTAAATTTTTTCAAGGGGTTCAAAGTTTCCTGAAATTGACATGTTCAAGGAAGTTTCCTGAAACTGACGGAGCAACTTCATGTAAGTCATTTCAATTTTTTAATATTCAATTAGTATTAATATTAATTACATGTATATTCAAATTAATTTGTTTTTTTTTCATTTTTCTAGTCCACCATGGTGGAGAAGGGCCATATCGCTTTGGAGGATGTGGCTTCCCAACTTCCCCTAGAGACCCTAATCGAGGAGGTGTTTCCTCTTGAGGATGATGGGCTTCAAATCATGATAGATACCTTTGATCAGACCCTCGGTCGTCGGCATGGGAACGTTCGCCGAGGGCTTGGGAAAGCCCGCCTTCGGGACCCGTCTGCCTCATCCTCCAGGCAAAAAACTAAAGAGGTCCAAATGCTGACATTTATAGTGGTGGGCTTGAAGGAGCAGATTGCAGCCCAAAACAATTTGATGAACCAAATACGTCGCGCACTTCAAATCTCTGGCATTCACTTCCCCAACATTGAACCACATCCAGAAACGATCTCCCAGCCCCTCTCCCCTGCCGCCGCAACAGCTACGACCTCCCGGCCCCCGGACACAGTAACAACACCACCAGCCAACAATTGTGACGTCGAGGACTACTTTTTTTAGTTTTGTTTTAAATTGTTTTCAAATTTAAAAATACTTTTTTCCATTGTATGTACATTTACAATAATTTTTTAATTCAATATCCTTCTTTACATTTTCTATTTTTAAATTCATTTAAAAAACTAATTTAAAAATAAATAATATATTATTTAAAAACCTAATTTTAAGATCTTACTGAGACGACCTCTATATTCTTCGCGCAAGAGTTTGTGGGTCAAACTCGAATGTCTGTCACACAAGAGTTTGGGGGTCGAACCCCAGTTTCGTCGCTCAGTACGCACAACGACCACTAGTTTCGTCGCGTAATATTCATTTTGCGCAACGAACAATATCCCTCCATCACGCAATGCCTGACGTCATGAGCTTTGCGCGACAGAATTTGTGCAACGCTCTCCTCGCCGCCCAATGTTTCCGGCGACGTTTTTGTCTTTGCACAACACTTTCCCCTTCGTCGCCTAAGAAGTTATTCCTAGTAGTGTTTACACCAAACGCTTGACAAGAGTCTCATCCTAACCACTCCAATCCAATCCTAACCTATCCTAAATATCAAGTCCAATCTCATCCGACCCACCAAACAAGCCTTAAGATGCTTTTATGTATGTGTGCCTCATAACTAGGATAAAGACTTCTATAGCAAGGGTATACCATTACCATGGTGTCCCACATTAATTATAAATTTTTCTCTCGAATGTTGTATCATTAGTACGAAACGTCATAATAATGGTATATATTCGTGTTATGAAAGTTACTCTCCATATTGGTACAAGGTTTTGAAAATACTTGTCTACAACGTCAAGTAGGAATAATCGATGAAATCTGCCTTCCTTACCTTACAGACTCAATCCTATATCCAACAGAGACCACTCGACCAATCTCATCCACTTGGAAATTCGCGTAAAGTGTCTATATCACACTAATCTTTTTGGCCATTCTTAAAATATTGGAACCCTAAACAAAGAGTGGCAATCAAGGAAACGTAGCTATCAGCATTTTAACAATACACTGTGGCTGACAATCCAAATATTCAATATAAATTAACAGTGGAGACAGCGTGGTACCCTAAATTTGTTTAGTGCTTGGAATCATGGCAAGTTGACTCAGCACATTTCTTCGTTTCAAAACAGTTCCCCATTTCTTCGTTTTCGAATTTCATATCATCAAACTTTTGCTTCTCTCTGTGTTTCTGTCTTTCTTCTTTCCGAATATTAATACTGGAACATCCAACCTGATGACCCGAATTGTAAAGGATGGGTTAGTGGTAGGTTGACCTTCTAACCCGACCAAGTTGCAACCCTAATAGAAAGCTTGAGAAGTAAAATAATTTGACCTTCTCCCAAATTACAAAGTACATTAAAATGGTTTGCAAATGGTAACTTTAAGAGTAAAATCCCACAATACCCAAGTAGAGACGAAAATAGCGAGTGACCTTTTACCATAATAGTGAAAAAGAGTTGAGCCCTTGCATGACGGCGTATGTTCGAATCCGTCGGTAGCTAATCTAACATTTAATCTAACAAAATCTATCGTTTGACCAAAAAAAAATTGAGACGAAAATAAAACTTGAACAGCCAGCCCCAAGTTAATTGGGAAATTAGTTTTATTCACATATACAACTTACAAAAAATTATGGAAAATCAAAATTAACAGAGGTTGCCGTCTCGCTGATATTTAAGAAACATAGTGAAACGTAAATAATATGTGGTAACATGTACAGAAACATTAAGTCACACACAACTTCATCTAGTACATAATATGATACAAAAACATATCTTTCAAGATGTTTGCAGTACCAATGCCAAACTTATATATATAAGGAAGTGTGTGGCACTCCAAAAATCTCATTCTACACCCTTCACAAGTGTATTTTTCTTTCTAAATATAGAAAGTTTAGAGTGTAAAATAAGATTTTTGGAATGCCAATAACAATTCTCTCTCTCTCTCTCTCTCTCTCTCTCTCTCTCTCTATATATATATATATATATATATATATATATATATATATATATATATTATTTTATGGATCACTGATCATACAGCATACAGCCTTATAACCTGGTCTATCTCTCTCTCTCTCTCTCTCTCTCTCTCTCTCTCTATATATATATATATATATATATATATATTATTTTATGGATCACTGATCATACAGCATACAGCCTTATAACCTGGTCTATCTCTCTCTCTCTCTCTCTCTCTCTCTCTCTCTCTCTTCTCTATATATATATATATATCTCTCTCTCTCTCTATATATATATATATATATATATTATTTTATGGATCACTGATCATACAGCATACAGCCTTATAAACCTGGTCTATCTCTCTCTCTCTCTCTCTCTCTCTCTCTCTCTATATATATATATATATATATATATTATTTTATGGATCACTGATCATACAGCATACAGCCTTATAACCTGGTCTATCTTGGCTCGACAGACGGGGCATCCCCATTTCTTGCCTTTAATCTCCTTCAAACAGGACATGCATCCAGCCATATGTCCACAAGGGATGCAAGCTCCTTCAACTGGAGCATCCAAACAAATCACACATGAACCGCTTTCACCCTTCTTCTCTTCAACTTTAGCAGGTGTGCTTTCAAGGCTTGGGGATGGGATATCGATAGGACTGAAATCAATTGATGGATAGTGAATAGGAGCTGCATCTAGACTATCATCTGCAACTGGTGGGGCTGATGGAATTATATCTGAGGTAGGAGCTGTTTGGACAGAAGAGGTATCCTGGATTTCCACCTGCTGAGATGACTCTCCAACTTCGCTACTCTCAGTCCCTGACCACTTGCTGCTACTTACTTTTGGAGCAGCAGCGGCAGTTGGTACACCCCAACCATTGTAACTGTCATTACTCGGAGAGGCTCCGGCCCAACCATTATAACTACTGGATGCACTTCCTTCATAGGTTGGGTGAGGATCAGGAAAGGATGGTCTCTCCTGCATAGCAGACTGAATGGAAGCACTAATAGCCATGGCCAACTCTAAATCTTCTGCCGCTGGTGGTGCCGTTGCTGGAGCAACTGGGGGTTGGTTGTTACCCAAAAATGCAGGACACGCCTGAAAAATTCCACAAATGTAAGACATGATAGCCTCCCAAGCATCTTGCCAAAGATTAATTGCTTGCTTACAGAGAGAGGATGGGAGTTAAAAACGGCATGTATACAGCAGAGAAGGATAAGATAAAATTTACCTGTGGAATTCCTTTGCATGCATTGCAAAACAACTGAAGTTGATGCTTGTCATTTTCATCTGCAGCTGCAAGTTTGACACGTGTTTCTGCAAAGAAGGAATGCAGAGTTTGAATGGGATATTAACAACAGAAACCTAACTCACACGCACACACAACAATTAAACTTCATTTTCTTCTGAGCTAGACGGCAAGCCTAATATAGATTGGAGGCCGGAGGATGGCATCAGTACATTACTGCAGCACTCGATGTGGAAGTTATCCAAAATCTTCTGCTAAAGTGCTCATTCACTTCTATGATTTATATTGATTGGAAGTAATTAACGAATATCATACTTACGCAGTTTTTGATGCCTACTACTAGCCTCTCGGGCGATGTACATGCTTCTTCTCCGCCTCCTGCCTCTTGGGACTATGCAAGGACATAGAATTCAATTAAAAAGGGGATAGGAAGTCAACGTGACATCAACCCCAGATTTATAGCCTAAAGAAATAAAGTTTGAAATTACTCAGACATAATTGTTTTGGAATAAAGGTATTACTCGCGGCGTTATCGTGAATCACAACTGAAGGATCAGACAGGTGTAACTTTGGTTCTTCCAGATTGACTTTCCACAATGCAATAACTGTCCGTGGCTTGGCATCCTGCTTATCAGAAAGAGTTTAATGTACGGACACTAGCAATATTAGCCAAACCCAAAATATGTAGAACATAAAACAAATGTGCATCCTAGATATATCAATCCAGAGTTGATAAAGGTAGACATACATGATGTTGGACAACTAATTTTATCGAAGTGTTTGGAAAATAGGAAATGAGCAAACAATGTAAATCAATCTAGCATGTACTTAGACAAGCAGACTAACAATAATATAAAAAATTTAAAAATTAAGCTACAAATCACCACATAACAAGATTCAACTCTTTTGTATTCTGCACAGTACAAATTAGATATAAAGGTACTACGGCTATGCTACGTTGCAAACACAAGGCTTTCAATGACAACTTCTAGACCCATAGTATTTGAATAGGGACATGAAAGCATTGGCCACATGTAAAATGAACACCGGACATTAAGCCCTCCCTGACAAATTCTCAGGAAAGAACCAAAGATGGTAGCACTAGATAGCCCAGGGTTGTGAGCACATGACACACCAAAGGAAAGCAACAGCAGTATCAGGACCCTCGGTAAATCACATGGGAAATCCCAAAAGAGGTTGAACTTGACAGAGAACAAAGAGTCTTGGTGTCTCCAGGGGGAACTCCCCTGAATCTCTACTTTGAGAGGGTACAAGAAGTTGTCTACCATACGAGCCCTTGAAAGCTTCTCAAAACCAAGAATCACAGTAGAGAACTGAGCGTAAGAGTTGAAAAGGACTGTAATTCACTGGAACTTGAGTTACCTAGTATACTAGGGGGTACTCGGGTGGACACAGGTTTTGAGTTAGGGATTAACTAATGAGAAGAAACCACTGGTACTAGTTTGTTTGCTCTGAAAGTGTAGTTCAGTACCTGGGTGTACTTAACATATTGGCCTTATTATTTTATTTAGTATTTTAGTCACTATTTTTCCTGACTAGGAGTGCTATACCCAACTGGTAGACTAGGGTTCAAATTTAATATTGTGTTCAAGTTTACGCAAATAAAGAAACATTGGCTCACAATTTCCAATTGAGCTATTTGATGGAAGGAAGAATTCTACAATAGGCAAAGAAAGGTAAAGGAGATCCTAATCAAGAAGGTTTGTTAAGACTACCCACCCACCAACTCCCATGGGAAATAACATTGTTATTTGTCGAGTTCTGACATAAGCAATAATTAATGGAGGTTATTTATTTATTTCAGTTTGTAATTTGGTCAGAGTGTTCCAAATGCATAAAATATCAAACGAGTAAGAAGACAATAAAGAGGTGGTAGCACTATAAGTCTAATATATCTCCATTCCTAAAAAAGGCCTGAGCTTGGAAATTAAATTGATGCTTTTTATCATCCACAACAACAGCAAACAACGACAAAGCCTTATCCCACTAAGTGGAGACGCTTTTTATCATCTACATGACAAAAAAGAATGGACGGTTCAAGAATGTGCACTACAAAAGAAAAGGAAACATTATTGATGGCAAGTTAGCAAACTATATAATGCAAAACTTTAGGAATCATATTTAACTCACGCAGGCTTTGTGTTTTGTTTATTGAATTATTAGAGTGATATTTTTTTTAGGAAAGAATTCGCGCGAATGTAATCTGCAAGCAAACACTCAATGTAGCCTAAATTAAAAGCGACTTGAATGCAATGTAGGAGTAGAAGAACTAAATCTAGAATCATTTAAAATCATATATTAAGCCTAATCAACCTAAGAATAGAAGGCTGTATTTAGCAATACCTGCATGGTAGGATACATGGCAAGCTCCAACTTGAAAGGCTTGGTGGGTTTGCGAGAACTACATGGCAAAACAACAACCCAACTGCAAAGTATGCAATGGTAGGCACACATGTCAAGTGAAATTTCAGACAATTACTCGATCAAAGTTACAAGAACAACAATGACGACAAAGCCTTATCCCACTAATTAAAGTTATACATAAATAATTAAAACAAGTGAGATATAAACTTCTTCAAAACAGGTCAAACCAATCAGTCTATATTATTGCTTAGACAACTTGGTGCATAGATCATGATTGACAACAAAAGCAAAACAACTACATGGAAATACTTCCAGATGACATCACTTTTACATAATACTCACACTTTTCTTGAAACCAACTGAGGAGCAAGTACTTCAAGAAATCCAGGACCATAAAACTCCCGCAACCAACCAGAGAATAAGCAAATATGCCTCTACAAACATTGGGAAATGGGTTAAGAAGACAAACTAAAAGAGAAACATGAAGAACTATCAGAGAAGACAATGAAAACAAGTTGCAACACTGGACGGTAAAAAAATATCCACAGAACGACATTGCATACTAATTACCTCAATTGCGCGGACAACATTGGTGTGCCCCTTCGCCCTAGCAACGTCAAGAGGACTTTGACAGTCATCATTCATGATTAAAGCATTTGCTGAAAATTTTGAACAAATTATATATTAGCTATAAAGAATGCATAAAAAGAACTGTGTTTGTTATTGTAAAATCATAAATTTTATACTCCATTCTTTAAGACTTTCAAACAGATGAATGGATAGAGTTGCACACCTCCATGCGAAAGAAGTAATTTAACAACATCTTCTAGGCCTCTTTTAGCTGCATGATGTAGAGGAGTCCCAGCATGACGACCTAAAGCGCATTGAGAAAAGAACAAAAAGGAAATTGTTAATGCAAGCCAAAGATCAAGGTGCGTGCATTTATAATAGCATGTTTTAAGAAGACTGCATTACAAGACGAGTTTAATAAATAAATACGGTAAAACACAACAAAATTCTGGGGAGGAGAGAGGGGATCAGAAAGAAATAACACTGGAAGCATATCTAATCTTAGTGTTCCATTTTCTGCAAAGGAAAAAAAACAGTACAAAAGTGGTACTTAGATCAATGGTGATATTTTTCCATTACGATTGCAGTATAAATTTGGATCCAACACTAGCTCCACATAAAAGGGCAATACTTGTAGAGAGAAGTTGGACCAAAAACCTAAATTTTAGACAAAAAGAGTGGCTACCAACTATAGCCAGGCCACTCTTTTAATACTTTCCTGGTCCTTGGTGACAACTCTACCTTGCCAATTGGTACATTTCTTCGATATCTATGAACCCAAAAATACCAGTTTTCATTTTTTATCTTCATTATTCATTCTTTCTTCTCACTGTCCAAGTACATAAACTTCAACATGAAATAACCCAACTGACAAGTTATCAAATTGTAATGATTAAGATAGGAAACGTACCGGGGCGATAGGCGTTGACGTTTGCACCGAGTTCAATCAAGGTTTTTGCAACGTTATAGGGCCCATGATTTGTACAGGCCACGATCAAAGGGGTATTCCCCTCTCTATCAATCCACTGACAACCAAAATGACCACAATTAACCAATAATTCAGCAAATTTAACCCCCAAAAATCCAAAATCTTCTACAATTATCACTACCAATTGACAAAACAAAACAAATTATCACTACGAACAATCAGATTATGCTTACAATTTAAACAAAAATCCTAAATTAATCTCCTTTAATTACCTCCAGGCCTGCACCGTCTCTGCAGAGTGCTTTAATCCCTTCGATGTTTCCATTGCTGACTTGCTGATGGAGCAACTCATCTTTCGATTGCTGCAGTCCCATTGAAATCCCCGGGGAGAACTGCAATTACCCTTTGTGGGTTTTGAAGCAAAACTTGAGGACCTAGGGTGTTAAATGCAGGAGGAAAAATATAAGAAACTAAAAAAAATTCTGGGAAAATCACAACTTCCCTGGAATATGGATGGGGACTGGGGAGTGCTGTGCTTTCAAAGAAAGGTGTTCAAAACGGAACGCAAGTGGATGATGAAATTAATTGAATTCCTTGGCAACGAAGATATTTTTTATTGTGACCAAGAAATTTTATTTTATTAAATTTTTTTCTAGAGAAAATTTTGGCTAACAAGATTTTCAAGATCCTTTAAACGAATAAAGGAAATATTTAAGGTGATGGTCATATCGTTGATGTGTATATCGTATAATGAATAAATCATTGTGTTATAATAAAGATCTAATAATTATATTGCAATAAGAAGAAAAAGTGAAGTAGAGTTTGGTTATTCCTTCGACTCGTATAATAGAAATAAAATAAGGAAAACTAATGAAAATGATTTGAAAACTTTGAGTTTTAATGATAAGGATAAAATAAAGGGTAAAGTGAATAGTACCAGGATTGACTTTTTAGTGTAAAAATATGGTTTTTCGTTAAAGTAAACAGTACCGAGAGCTTTTCGTTAAAGTTCCCAATAAAATAAGCATTTTCTAGAGTTTGAACTTTAACACTATTTTTTCAATAATTTGCTATTGCTAATAAACAGAAGAAATGGACAGATGTTGGATTTAAATCTTGTGAAATAGAACACGCAATCTAATAAATTAATAATAAATAAAATAAGTCACGTTTTAGAATATAGTTTCATTTCATTTGTGTTTAATTTCATTTCATTTGTGTAAAAATATTAAGGTCTGCACTTTGATTGATTGATTGATCGATCGATCTAAATAAAAATAATAATTTTGTGGACATAGGACAACAAGTGGCATAAATTTCCAAATACTGACTTTTAACCTGAGATAAAAATAATAAATTATTTAGAGGATATAATTTCTAAAACTAATTATTAAAAAATGCCTAAACAAAAATTGATAAGTCCCAACCCAAGACTCAACCACCTATACCAAAACTCATAACTCTCTCAACCTACTCATAATTAAGAAGTTCAACACTGAACTACCAACAACATTGTTTGTTAGCACAAGACATTATCAAGATGAACCTGCTAGCTATCTACAGGCACAAGTTCAAGAAAAAACAAGCTATCTACAGGCAATAAATGATCATTCCAGTTTTTTGACTTATCAACCAATGCTAGCACATAAGTCGGAGTCACCTATAGTGACTTATATGACTTATCCATTTCTCAGCAACCAATGCTAGCACATAAGTCGGAGTCACCTATAGTGACTTATATGACTTATCCATTTCTCAGCAATCAATGCTAGCACATAAGTCGGAGTCACCCATAGTGACCTGTACGACTTATCCATATCTCATCACATATCCAAGTAATATGTCAACCAGATCCACCTCTTGTGGCCTGTACAGCTTAACCCATAGCTCATCACATATCCAAGTAATATGTCAACCAGATCCACCCCTTGTGGCATGTACGGCTGAACCCATAGCTCATCACATATCCCTACACACTAGTCGGAACCACCTATAGTGGTCTGTACGACATGACTGGGTGTAAATAAGTACGCTCAAGTGCTACGATCACGTGAAAACTGTGCGAATAATTGCGGGTTACCTACGAGTCAGAACCATCTATAGTGGTCTGTATGATAGGACTGTGCACCTACCTTGGATCCAAGGTGAGCGTAAGGTGTTGGAGGTGAACATCACGTGAAGGAATGTGCCCTGGCCACGGGCGGGAGCACTAACACCGGGGTGCAAGTTTATGAGCTCTAACTGCATCTAATGTAACCTATACGACTCATGGGCAACCTGTACGACAGTGTCGGAGTTGCCTATCATTGCAACTTGTATGACAAGGTCAGAGTTGCCTAAAACATACATGTAGTCATGCCATAACTCCATCGTTTCAACTAATACCATAAACCCACCTGAACTTACCTGGTTGTCCTGCGTTCCTCTTTGCACTTCAAAGCGTTCACAATAATTATGTGCAGGTAATATACATATAGATAAACCATGATGCAATCTAATACTCAACTAGGTTATAGCATTTTCAATCATATACATATATATATATATGGCATAAAAATGCATAGGTTGTAACGCCCTACTCCCAAACTATTTATTTTTGGGAATAATTATCGGTGATAAGCCCAACTAGACACTAATTTAATTAACTATCATTACTTACGTTTCCTTACTTCAAATTCTTGATTCCTCACACATTGATTTATGACCAACATTAACCACCAAATCATAAGGTTAAATCTCACATTTTCCACCAATGTCCCTCACATTACTCAATTCCCTAAACAAGGTTATTGTCTCAATTATTTAATCTCACTTCTTGTATGGCTGCATCTAACGTCTCGTTAGACTGCCTATGTACCCTAAACAGGGATCAAGTCATTCGTAGTTCACATTAGTATTTTAAAGCATTCACAGTAATTATATGCAATAATCAATTTATAAACGTTTGTGGAATTGTCAATCATATATATATATATATATATATTTGTATTATAGGATAGAAAGGAAAAGACCCACTCACCTTAGGTCCGCGCTACGACTCCCTAGCACGAATATCGAGACATCACGAACCATCGTCGCCTAGAACAATTATCAAATCACATCTCAGAGTTCTTACCGATAGAATACATAATTTACATAAAACACATCCCTACGTAATTCAATTCGGAAGATCTGCATCACGAATTTCCGATCCATTACTTCCAAGGATCCACATTATGTTTCTAGAACAACGTCCTAAGGTTTTATTACGATCCAACGGTCGGATCTCCGCCAATTGCCAAAACCAAGTGGCGATCAACATTTTATTTTATGAACTTACAAATCCAATTCAAGAAGATCCGTACGTCGGATTTCCGATCCGTAAGTTTCTATGGTCCTCAATTATTACATACTATAATGTATTAAAATTTGGTGACGATCCAACGGTTAGATCGTCAATTCACATAATGCTCAAGTAGCGGTCTTTATCAAAATTTGTTCAAACGATGAGATTTCATCAATCTAGCTTTACCAACGGAATTGGGGTGTCAAACTTAACTTAGAAAGGTCAGAAGTGACTCGGCACACGGCGGTCAGCTGTCCCGATTCGCTGGAAAATTTAATTATCTCCAAAAATTCTCAAATTTCACAGAAATGAAGATCTCAATGAGAGGAACAACTTTCGTACCTTCTACGAAGTCCAAAAGTGGACGAAAGATGGTCAATTTTGCCCACGAAGCCGGCGGGTGCCTAAAGCTTTCCGGTGTCGATTCGTCGTCTACGGTGGTCCAACGGGGTCAAGGTTGGTTGGGTTTTGCTCCTGGGATGATGGGCTACAAAGCCCAAGTGGTGGCATCGGCCATGGCTTTGCCGATTTGCCGGAAAAATAAAAAAGGGTGGCCGGAGCACCGTGAGAACCGTCAACTTTCGTGGCCTCAAAACGCCACATACAAAGGTTAATCAAGGTGGTTATTGGGTGGATTTTGTAGAGGGGAATGAGAGCCTTAAGATGGCGGTGGTGGCGTTGAAAAATTCCACTATAGTTGGTTGGAATCGGCCTTGGAAGTTGGGTGGTCGCAGTGGTGGCGAGCACGGGAAAGCTGGGAGCATTCTCCCTTTTTTTATTTTTTTTATTTTTTTATTTTTATCTTTTCTGATTTCTGATTGGGCTGCTGTCCTTTTTCTACCTTTTTATCTAATTGGTCCTCTTTAACCAATTAATTAACTTTAAATAACCAACTTCAAACGTTTGTAACTATACCGTTATAATCCGGACTCACAAACTGCTTTCGCCTATGTGTTCGTACCAACGAGTACTACTTAAATACGCCAAAAGAATAAGTCATACATTCCTCTAGACGATGGTCAACAGAAATCAAAATCCTTGCCACTAGGCATTTTTCGTCAATTCCCTCGATTAAAATAAATAAATAAAACGAAATTTTAGGGACGGGTTGTCACAATTTTTATTGCAATATATATAGCTAATGAACCAGGTAAAAAATAATAGGGGAATTGGCACAAATACTGCTTGGACTTTTGTTGGTGTGCAGATCTATCACCTGAACTTTTAATTTTTATTATTTACCACTTGAACTTTGTAGTATGTTGCAATGTACCACCTACCTTTTTGAAAATTTTAATTAACATGTATAACATAGGGCTCAAATTTTTTGCTAACGTGAATGTTATGTGATAAATAAATATGTATTAGTTAAAAGTATTATAAATTAATATAAAAATAAATAAATAACTCATGATACCTTTCTATCATCAACCAGCCCACCTCCCCCATTAGAGTGTTGCAACTGTCGTCCTGTGGTGTCGGGGGGGGGGGGGGGGAGCTGGTGGGAGAGATGGGAGGGGGCAAGCGCAGGAGCTACTGCCATTATTGTACACCTGGGGTCCACGTCAGCCAAAATGTAGGGTTTATGTGTCCACATCAGGTAATAAAAATTTAAACAGTAAGTGATACATTGCAACTTAATGCAAAATCTAGGTGGTAAATAAAAAATAAAATAAAAGTTCAGGGGTAAGTACGCACACCAACAAAAGTCTAGGTGGTATTTGTGCAAATTCCTCAAAAAATAAAATAAAATTTTCTTTATGTATATAGCTATAATGAGGCAGGTAAAATTATTTTTACAATATACTTATTCTAAATAGATACACTAACATCTAGATAGGTACATTAAGAGCTACTTTGGTGTTCGGTGTTGCTGTGATTTAAAAAAAAAATTGATTCTGCTGTGCTGTGAGAATAAACAGTTGTAAAATAAAGTTATTAAGTGTTTGGTAGAATTTTTTTTTAAAAAGTGCTTTTAATAAAAAAAAAAAATCAGTGTCTTAGTGTTTGGTAAACTTTTTATATAAATTGCTTTGAATATGTTAAATAACTAAAAAGAATATAGTGTTTAATGTGATATAATAAGGGAAATGTTATTGACACTCCAAAAATCTCATTCTACACTCCTCATAAGTGTATTTTTCCTTCATAATATAGAAAGTTTGGAGTGTATAATGAGATTTTTGGAGTGTTAATAACAATTTCCTATAGTAATTGTCAAAGACAATAATGTAGGGAAAGATTGTAATTTTGTGAAACATGTGAGGTATACTTGCCATTTGAAAAGTTCATTAAATGAGCATTGATTATAATTCTTTGAAAAAAAAACACTTTTTTTAGAAGCATGGTAGACATGCTTCTGCTTTTCTATACTTTTC